CTCAACAGCCAAATTGAAACAGTTTCGTTGTATCTTTGGAAATGAAATCACCGATGGATACTTGGATACCCATGGTCGGTACAACGCATTAGAACTCAATGGACTACAATATTAGCATTTGGGTGAATTTCTCCAAAATAAATAGGGTTACAAAGATCAAAATATTGTTTTAGTTTGGCAAAACCACATGTGTGTAATATAATTCTTGCCAGTAGAACACATGTTGGCCAGTCCGTGGATGTAAACAATTCACACAGATTTGTCAGGCTTTCTACCTTCAATATTCTCAGAAACGCAGCTAGTTTAGCAGTGTCTAATCGAAAGTTGCACAGACCCACTGGCACTTAAACAAATGAACAAAGCTTCACACACTGGTCTATCAGCTGACGTAATTGAAGTACGCCCTCATACATCGATACCTCGGGGGCGGAGCTACGTCACGGACGTTCTACGTTGCTAAGACGCGCACCACTGCACCACGTATTTCTATGGGGCTTTGTGCGCGCTGCTGTGGAACGCCGTGGAGCCGGTCAAAACTCGAGAAAACAACACAAACTCAACTTTGAAGTAATCCTGAACAACCAAATTCATATATGTTACACACGTAGGACTAATCTTGTTACACTGTTCAGGGGACTCTCAACAACCATCGCAAAGTACCGTTTTCTGCGAGTTGTTGGTCTTTGTGTTCACCGCGAGGGTTGCCAGGCGGTAGAAAATGCCCGGATGTTCGCCCCCGAGGACATCCGGACGCGCTAATTGTTGCGTATTTTCTAATTTATGTAATTTTAGTGAGCCACAATAACAGTAGTATAAATTGAATAAAGTTACTGTGAATGCAAAATCATGCTAGCCAGCAGTACTGCAATATAACTGACTGATATCAATATTGTTAAACAGTGAGCTGTATCGCAATACTGCTTGTTAGGTTGCATGTACCAGATATTCACATCTAAACAGTGCCTAAAAAACGATACACATTTAAACAACACCCGGGCAACTGAAAGATTAACCGTTTGTTATTGACCGTGCACAAGATCTGGACACTACTCTCATGTTTTATTTGATTAGAAGGGTGAGGTTGATGTGGAAGACATTTGATATGTTTTCAGTAAAAATATTTTGTTCAATGTCTAAAATTTTCAATATACAAGATTACGTGTTTGCGGGTATAAACACTATTCTCTGACAATCATTTGAACAATCCTATTTGGGTTACCTTTTATAGTTTCCTAGCAAACAATAAAGAGGTGAAAACAATTTTTGTAAGCGAAAGTGTATATAAAAACATTTTTAATGGTGGAAAATGACTTATATAAAAACAAACTATAGAGGACATGACATATAGCAATTGAACAGTTTTGTGTTATGTTACATGCACTTTTATTCTTTTGTCCAGATAGAATTCAACACATGCAATTGTTATCTTGCTGTCCACATATTTCAAAAGTCGGGATTATGATTGTTGTTTACTCACAGGAACAAGAAATTGGATAAAACAATAATATTTGGGCGTGGCCAATAACACACATATATGAGTGCAAGATATTATATAAAGCTTTTTCATTATAACTGATCACAGTTCCTCTATTATTATTGAAAATAAATGTGTGTTTTTAATAAAAGCCATTTTTCTGTACAGTGACACCAAGAATTGAACAACAAAACTTTCACACTTTACCACAATCTTTATTTAACATGGAATGTTTAATCTCAAATAAAAACTCAATAAATTTCTGTACAAAAATACCAATTTGGCTTCTATACTATGAAAATATGTACATTTTTAATCACATAAAACAGCAAAAACAAAAACCTTAACACAATTGTTAGTTTTCTATGGAAGCACTCTTTGACGAAATTAGCGAAATTATTAACATCAACTCACACAACATTTTTTGCTTTGCTTTGCTTGTCACCATTTGTATAATTTTTTTAAATGAGTTTACATCATGCTTGTTGATTTTAATGACTTTGTTTCATTGCTTGTATATATACATAATTATCGCCATTTTTATATTCAAATCTTGTTTTTGAATAAAAAAGTTGTACAAAGAAAACAAACACGAACTAACACAGCTTCAAACAGAAATGATTTCTTTCGCTGAGATGTGTCATGGAAAGTAGTGAAATATAAATAGACTAATATTCAACAGTACAGTACTCAGTAATGGACAACCATACTCAACTTGAGTGTAATATTTAAAGCTTCTCTTCAAACAGTTCACAAGAAAAACACCCCTGATTTAAAAAAAATGAAGAATCTATCACAAAGCATCACTGAAGGCTCATTCCAACTACTAGACTAGTTGTGGGAGAATTGAAGAACAAATTCTGTACAAAAGTCCCAATCTATTGACTGAGAATCACAATCCAACACTAAATAAAAAAAATTACTAAAATGCATATTTGGATATTGCTGTATGGTTTGACTTGCTGCTAAATAAAAAGACAGCCACAAAAAGCTAGTTATAACTCTTTTGCATATGTAATAATCATTTACACTAAAAATGCAGCACTGTACACAAAAACAGTTGTACTTTTACAGCCTCTGCATTCGTTCTAGTAAAAGCAGCATTGAACAAAGTATTTATTTTACAGCTGCAACATTCATAAATTAAGTTACCCTATCACAATATTGTAGGGCCTAATAAAGAACAATTCTGAGTTTAATTGGACGGTTTAACAAATGCTGATGTTTTGTTTAAAACAGTAAAATATTGACAATTTTGCATACAGGTAAAACATTTATAATTTGCATAATATGTATTCTCACATAAAAATTTCAAGTTTTGAATAGGAGTAAAACATAAGTGAAATTTACAATTTAATTGTAATTCTTGCAATAACTCACATTTTAAAATGATAATTTTAACGTTTATTTAACGAACACAGTTGTATCACACAATATCAAAATACTGTAAACCACTTTAATTAACCAGAAAGACAAATTTTTGCATTTAGCCAGTGAAAATCAAGAAACTTTGTAGCAGTGAAAAGTTCTGTATGATTTCAAAGACAGCAATTTTCGTAAAACTTTGTCCACAATAACGCCATTTAATCATCAGATTCAGCAGGAAAATGGACATGCCAGATAGTGTGTGTGTAATCACAACATACATTCTTATTTTGAAAAAAAAATAGACATAAAATTCCTTTTTTTAACCTATAATTAACACCTGATAGACCTAAATTTGTGAACATATGAGTTTCTGGCCAACATTTCAAAGTGCACCCTCTCGTTAAAGATGTGTAATTTATACTAATAGAGGGCACAACTTCTAAATTTACAAAATGTGAAAAAAACAAAAATTGGTCAAGCTGGAATGCTTGATATAAAAATGTATATATATTTCTCTAAAAGCATTTCCGGATCAAGAACAGTGATGTGCAAGGTGATATTATATATGTATATGTATCCGTCTGATACATATCTCTCCTCAATAAATTTAATAAAAATATCCAAATCTGTTTAATTAAATCACTGATAGTGGACGGGAATGCATGATTAAAAACCACACATCTGATGGAATGAATGATTGAAGTTTGGGAATATTTCTACAATTAACAATGATGGTTAACCAACAAAAAACAGACTGGCCTGTTTCATCTAATATCAATTTTGAGTCTGAATATACAATACTCACACAGACTTGTAAGCCATTTTGAATAGCATCACTACGGAATCAGTGACACTAACAAATCAATAAATGCCCCAGAATGCACTAAAATGACATAACTTAGCACATGGTTACTTTCAGTAAATAATAAAATTTAAAATTATGAATTTAAAAGATGCTCCAGTTACAAGGAACAGGATAGGTTCATTTTGGCACTGTGAATACCCAAGAAGTTCCGGAGTCTGGGTAGTAACAGTTTAGTCAGGGAGTACTGTTTTGTGAAATAAATCTGAGTGAATTTTTAGTGTTGTATAAAATTATGTGTGATCCTTGACTGCATCGATATGCAAATGAGAACATGAAATGAGCTGCCCATGTTGCTGAAACGGAAGCCCTATGGGAAGTGGACTAGTCCAATTAGCTGAACCCCCTCCATAATAAATAGACACATCCAAGCAATAAATAACCTATTATTTCTGTCATGACTTCTTTTCTTTAAATTCGTTTCCTTCCCTCAAAATTTTACGCTCAGTTATTCTTCCATCGGCAGGATCGGACAGCGATGTTTTTTCACGTTTCCGTAATATAAATGGATGACTCTGTAATTCTTTGGCAGTCAGCCTTGCATCTTGGTCCCTAAATAAAAGAAACAAGATCAATAACCTTCTCATGAAGCACCCAGGACTACTACATTGCTTTCATTATTTCAAATATAAATTGACAGATGTACATGAATATGTCGTACCACCACAGTCACAAAATCTGTTATTAGTTATTTTGTTATAACTGTTCATTCAACAAAGGATAATCAGCGAACAAGAAGACATTAAAACGCTGCAGTCATCTGCGAAATTCAAAAGCATGTTGTACAGTGAACATAGAACTTGAACTTGACTAACTAATACCGTTCATCCTCTCTCTGTTCCAAGGATCATGGTTACAGTTGAAGTAATAACGAAGAAAGAATGGAACACCATTCACCTTAACCACTGAAGAACAAAAAACAAGTTTTGTGGTTCTCTCGATCTCGCATACAATCTCATGACCTACCTTTGCATACACGCAGCTACGAAGTCCCTGGCTTCCTGGGAAAACCTTTCAGGCAGTTTTGGTTTTGGCTTGTCTCCAGAACCGATGGCAAATATGGCCGCCATTGGAGCCATCTCAGACCAAGGCGGTTTTCTTGTCGCCATCTCAAATACAGTACATCCAATACTCCTGTAAGGGTAGACAAAAATGATATGGATTAATTTTGAGCACAGAATGCCATGGAAAAAAGTGCATTGTAATATGAATTAATTTTGAGCACAGAATGCCATGGAAAAAGAGTGCATTGTAATATGAATTAATTTTGACCACAAAATGCCATGGAAAAAGAGTGCATTGTAATATGAATTAATTTTGACCACAGAATGCCATGGAAAAAGAGTGCATTGTAATATGAATTAATTTCTTTGAATATGAATGATTTTTATGTTAATCAATTACTAGTATATTATAAATATGCAAATTACATAGAAGAACACTGACTCTCAATAGAACAGAATCAAAGAAAGTTTAGAAAGAACTTTAAATTTAAAATTAATTCCAAATTTAAGATTAGCTTTTCTGTCAGCAACTACTATGAGTTCAGAATTATTTCTCAGTACTGATCCACAGTATTGAAGTTTGTAATACAGAAAATAAACTTGATTATACATCAGTGGTTTGCAGACTGAAATATTCCAGAGTACCTCTAGCACAAGTTCAATTTAAATCTGATTTTTTTAGAAATGAGCTACTTATCTAAAAATTAGATACTAATATGCATGAAAATTGACTAAATATCATATTAGGTAATTAATATGCACAGATTTTAGGTCTGTGTATTGTTTCAAAGCACATATGTACCAGGTTTCTTTGAAAACTAACCATTGGTTCTTAAGACATCTGTGGAACAGACTTACATACATGTACATATACACACAGACAGGGTAACTGCAAGGACTCCCATTGTGTGCCTCACACTCGACAATAACAAGTTTTTTGAGCAAAATTGTTTTGGAAGGTCTCCTTAAGACATTTATCTGAAATGTATGGAAACAAATCTTAATCACCACTCACCATATATCAGATTTAGTTCCATGCCCAGTTTCCATGACGACCTCTGGGGCCATCCAATATGGCGTTCCTCGCATAGACTTTAGCAATCTTGCTTGGCTTTGACTGAGGTTGATACAAAGCCTCTTGGCACATCCAAAATCAATTAATTTGATAACACCATTTGGCATCAGCATTACGTTGCCTCCTTTGATGTCTCTGCAGACGACATAAGACAATTTTCATTCTCCGGCATTATGAACATTATGGCATAACAGAACACCTACATCTTGGTCAAACATTATGCAAATTTGTATAAATTTTTCTACAATTTCTGGTTAAATTTGGACCAGATAATTTTCCATTGACTGCAGTCTTGAAAATTGAAAAATATGGAGAAAAATCTACCGGTAAGTTTATTTTTCTGAAGAGTGACAACATTTTTAGTGTTGGCTTATAATACAAAACTGAATCCTGTAGGGCTCATACCACTAATTGAATTTCCATAGACGACAATGTTAACATATGACGAGATTGCTATATGAAAATGACGAAGAAAGTTGAAAATATGGCTCAAAAATGGGAAATCAACATGCCAGTAATCAACCATATGAAAAAAACTAACATGTTGGCCAGCTCAAACTCTTGCAAATCTCAGGTAAACAAGACACACCTACTGTATTTGGATTGCACCAAGAGAA